AGGACAGGTTTGAACCTGGGTCTCCCTCATCCTATGGGTGTATGTGCCACTGACTCACAACCAACTTATGATGACCCCCAGCAAGGGGTTTTCAAGGCAAGTGAGAAGCAGAGGTGATGTGCCATTGCCATCCTCTGCAGAGTCTTCCTTGGTGGTCTCCCATCCAAGTACCAGCCCTACTTAGCTTCTGAGATCTGAAAAGATCAGGATGTACCATACCATTCCACATCCCCCTCCCCAGGGGTCGTTTCGTGGAAAAAGAGATAGGGGAACTCATTAGCATAACTCATTAGCATATGCCACACCCCTTGACATCACCAGAAGTGTGTCATAAGGCCACACACCCTGACATCACAAGAAGTGTGTCATAAGGCCACACACCCTGCCCCCAATGGTCCCGGCCGCCGCCGGCCTTGCAGCTCCACTGCCGAGCCCCAAGAGGGGCCCAGTGGTGGACCTGCAAGGCCGGCGGGAGTGCAAGGAAGCCCCGCAAAGGCCCTCCCTGGCCCCAGGCAGGCAGGGGTGGGGAGAGGCAGGGAGGAAGCAACTTACCCTCCCTCTTCTCCTGCCTCCTCCTGGCTGAATGAGGGCCGGAAGCGGGGCAGCCGGAAGCAGGGGGCGGGGCTTCGTCATGTGCCCCACCCCCCGTACCTCACCCGGGGGAACTGCGATCCCCCGCAACCCCCCCTCGAAATGACCTCTGCCCCTCCCACATCCTAGTCCGACATTAATCACTTTGCTACACTGGGTTTCTTGTGGAAGGGACAGTGAAAAAGAAGCTCATGAGTTCCATCTAGGCTGAGTTTGCCTTCCTTTCCTTGCAGGTAGTTAAAGCTTGAGAAGGGTCAGAGGTGCGAGCTCTTGGGCAAGAGCCAGAGAGCTCTCTGACTGTGGCCCATGTCAGGCAGCCTCATCCGTCAAGGCCAGCTCAGGCTCTGTTTGTTGTATTCATTAATCGTGCCGTCTGTTTAATTTGGTGGTTGACATTTTGGCATCTGCCTGTGAGTCACTTTGGGTCCCTTTGGGAAGAAAAGCAGCACACAGATGCCGTAACTGAATATATAAATAAATAGATTTCAGTCTCTGCCCTGCAGAAGCTGACGGCCTTTTTGTTCTGTACCACCCTGCAAGCGTATCATCTGCAGATTAGGACAAGCCAGGGAAGGCAGTGAGAAATTAGACTGAAAATGACGTGGACAAGACAAGGGTCCTAACACTTAACCCTGGTCTTATTGACTATCTCAGGGGTCCCCAATCTTGCGGAGCTTGTGGGAACTTTAGATATTTTAAAAGAAGGACAGAGGGTGCCAAAGAAGGGCTGTCACAAGATGGGAAGGGTAGGATCAGCCCCCTGCTTTGGGGCAGAGACCCTGCGTAATTTCATTTTGAAAGAAAAGGGAGAGTTTGTTCCCTTTGTGGCCACAAGGAAAGATTGCCAAGCCCGGAGGTGTAGGAAGGTCTGTTTCTATGGCCAAGCCGAAGGGGCATAGCTTAGACATGCCAGCCAAGAATTAGCTCAGTGCTTTGGTAGTCAGTTTTCGAGTGGGAAGCAACCCAAAGCTTGTTGGGTGGGTGTTGTGTTCCATTTGGAATTTATCCCCAAATCCATTTGGATCTTATCCCCAAGACTTGTGGCAGGTGGCAGTTGCTTTCCTCCTGAAGCTAAGGGCCAAACTTAGGATGTTTTTTAATAAGTCAGGTTCAGGTTCCTCACCCTTACTTGCTTGCCCCGTGGCCATACAGCCATTGTTTTAAAAGCCTGCAGGGGATCGATTCAGTTTGGGACCATGGCACTGGAGGAGAGAGGCTCCCCCCACCACACTGCTTTCCTAAGCCAAAGGACCCAAAGGGAGTTATTTGTCCCATGATGGAGCTGCACATGCAGCATGGGAACCTGGACCCAAATCATTAAAAACATCTTGTGTAGTTTGGCCATGAGTAAATCCATTGATCTATCAAGGTACTATTTACTCTGACTGGCAGTGCCCGCACTAGTAGGGTTGCCATGTCTTACCTGGGTCTAGGGCTGCCAAGTGGGGGCGGGTGGCGGGTAAACCCCCGCTTCGGAGGCCCGATTCCCGCCGCTGCGGAATCGGGCCCCGGGGGGAACTCCGCCCCTGAAGCGCAGAGTGGCTGCGTCACCAGAGGTGATGCAACCACGTCAATCACATTGGGGGCATGGCCCCAATCATTGGAGGGAAAACTCTATGGTTTTCCCTCCGATGATCGGGGCCACATCTTCAACGTGATCAACATTGCACGTTACTTCTGGTGATGTGCTGGCGGGGCGCGCGGACTTTGTGCGCGCGCACATCAACAGACGGCTCCTGGAGCCCGGCGAGGCTCCCCCGCCAGTAAGAAAAATTGACTTGGCAACCCTACCTGGGTCCAGGTGGGAGGCTCCAGCACGGCTCTTGGAGTCTTCTGGCCCTTCTGGTCACCATAGAGTTTTTACCCAAATGCTAGAGTGTCCCCACATGACGTGCCTGTTGCAGTGATGTCACCTCTGGGTGATGTCATTACGCCACACATGTTAAGCACAACAGGGCTCTTTGGGGGTGGGGCTCCCCCCGGCCAGCTGGCCAATGGCAGATTGGGGGGCTGGAAAGAGGGGGAAGCCCCACCCCCATTGGGGGGTTCGCAACCCTGCACACTAGAGAGACCAGAACAGCAAGCAAACAAGGAGAACCATGCTTATATAGAATCAAATCAGAGCCCTTTCAAGTCCACAAGTGGTAAGACTGGTGCAAAGAGCACTTTAGCAAGACGACCTAATCAGCCTAGGATGGGGCTGCCTGTTACACAGGTATTAATTTTTTTTTAAAGAGCACTAAATTCTGTTGTTTCCTCCACTTATATAAATATGAAGTAACTTTGATAAGTCAGCAAGTTGTCTTAAAAAGTGAGTGTGCCCTGGTGACTTCAGTGGAAGGCTTTATGATTTGCATAATTGTAATGGACTGCAGATTTGGTGTGCAGGGGTCAATTTCTTTGTAAAATCCGTTTGCAAGCAATGTTGTGTTGTGCTCTCCAGCATATTCATGCCACAGAAAATATTTTTACAACATTGCTCAAATTTGCTAGGAAGTAAAATGTTTCCAGATGTGTTTGTTTCCTCACAGATTTCCGGGCAATTGCCTCTCAGATATTTATCAAAGGACATAGGTTACATTATATTTGGTGGGGGGGGGGGGACAAATGAACACAGCAGCCCATCTAACAACTCGTAAAATCCATTGTGTTTGCTTGTACTGTCACAAGTCAGCAAAGAATTACTTTTGTGTACTTTTAAATGCCAACAAAATCTAACTATCCCTTTCCTATGCTAAATCTAGAGAAACTGTAGACAAATTGTAGACGAGAGCACAGCCATTCCATTTTTGTCACTGTGTAGTCTTCAAGGTTTTTCTCTCAATCGGGGGTTCCCAAAATTGTTCAGCCTGTGGGCACCTTTTGGAATTTTTAAAAAAGGGTAGTGGGTGCCACCACAAAAGGACTGCCAGGGCAGGTAAAACAAATCACAAAATGGCAGCCATGAGGGAAAGCTATAAAATGTTGATATATTTGAAGTCACACATTCTTCTATTATGGGGGCAACTCTTCCGAAGGGGTGCTCTCCAAAATGATGCCTTCTGGGGGGGGGTGTTAAGCACCCCCTGCTCCAATGACTTGGAAGAAAGCCAGGAATGGCTGTCTGATTTAGAGAGGAGACAATATGGGGAAGAATCAAGTGGACACCTGGAAACTCACTGGTAGCTGCCATGATGCCCAAGGGTACAATGCTGGTGGGGCACTGCTCTAAATGATCTACAACTGCTTTACTGTTAGTCTCCATTTTAATTATGCTGATTAGGTTTTTAGAACATGTTTGTCACATCAGTGTCAGAAAACCCCAGAAAACAAGATCATGGCTCCTCTGCAGTCTAGAGGTGGTATAATGAATTCATTATTGCAGGCTTAGTTCTCTGCTAGGGTTGCCAGGTACCTACCTGCTGCCAGCAGAGGGATGGAGCCCCGCCCCCAAAGTGATATCATCGCACTAGGCACATCACTGGGGGGACACTCTAGCATTCGGCCAGAAACTCTATGGTACCATAGAGTTTTTAGGCTGAGTGCTAGAGTGCCCCCCACGGCGACATGCCCAGCACAATGACATGCCAGGCACATCACCGCAATCCCAACACTTTGGGGGCAGGGTTCCCCCCACCGGCCAGATGTGGGTCGGCAGATTGGGGGGCTCTAAAGCAGGCAACCCTCCGCCCCCTGGGGGAAATGGCAAGCCTCTTCTCTGCACAGTGTTTTGAGGGTCATCCAGTCCTCCAATCTGAAGAAACTTTCTAGTTCAAAATCATTCCTGTAGAGTTTCCATCTAGTTTGCCTTATAGCGCAGTTCTCTTTCAATTGAAGCCATTCAGAACTACATCACACAGTTCAGGATCCCTCTTCTACATGAATTCATTGAATAACAATGCCCCACAAAACAGCACACAGGTTTAGACCTTCCAGTCTTGTTTGTGATGATGGAAGGACACTTCCTGTGGAAAGCGATTTCCATTGATCTCCTGATCCCACTGTAGCCCTTGCCCTTTGTCCCATGGTGTCTAGGAGGGTTCCCTAACCCCCCCCCCTGCAGAACAGAATTTGGAATGCTCAGTGGGCACCCATGGGAGTGGGAGCCAAGGAAATCTTGCTCTTTGACCTCCACTCATGGATATTGTAGGATACAACCAACGAAGAATGATCATACAAAATAAGGAATCCTCTAGAAGTGTACTTATAAACTCTCACTTTCAGTTTCCATCAGTGCAGTCCTAAACAGAATTATGCCCTTCTAAGTCTGTTGAAGTCAATGGATTTAGAAGAGTTAATTATACTTAGGGATTGCATTGCATGCCTAGGGAATATTCAACCTTATTTTAATGTTGCAGCCAATAAATTGCTTATCCATCATATAAGATCCTGGTGTTTTTTTGTTTAGTCTTGTTTTGTTGCTTGCCTAGGATCTGGACCATGTACAGATACATCTGGAAGAAGTGAGGTTCTTTGATTTATTTGGTTACAGCGAGGAAACAGGGGCTTGGCAATGTTTCATGTGTAATAATCCTGAAAAGGCAACAGGTAAGGGAATTTTCCAAGTTCTACTGAGATAGACAAGTAGTAAAGTATAGACTCTGACAGAGCTGAAGGGTTGCTCTGTGGAGGGAACATAAATCATGCAACCTAATGATTAAGAGTCTCTAATGAATATGTGCAAACTGATACTTACCTAAGTGTTGCATCTCAGCTGAATGTTGGGTGGAAATTCACCATGACAGCAAGCCACTTCTTCCTAATGGAAAGGCCAAACCACAAATCTATTTGCCGCATCATAGAGGTGTTAGAGCTGCACACTGGGAACAGCAAGCTAAAGAGAATCCAGCTTGGATATATCATCATACCTCTCTGTGGAATCAGTATCAGAAAGGAAATATCCCTTGTTATGAAACATTCAGCCCAATGGATTTACTCCAAAACATTCTTCTCCAATTTCACTTTATGAATTTCAATATGGGGGGGATATCCTCTGCATATTCAAATATTTGTTATGCCAGTATTTGACATGGTACGACTTTTCATTTCAATATTTGATATTTGACGTCATGATTTGATTTCAATTTTTTTTTAATTTGGCAGTATTCGATGGCCGATTTTCAATGCTATTTATGTATGTACATGCTATCAAGTTGCAACCGACATACAGCAACCCCAGCAAGGGGCTTTCAAGGCAAGTGAGAAGCAGAGGTGGTTTGCCATTGTGCTCTCCTGCAGAGTCTTCCTTGGTGGTCTCCCTTCCAAGTACCGAGACTGCTTAGCTTCTGAGCTCTGACGAGATTGGGCTATACCATGCCACCTTCCCTCCATAACTGTTTTGTATGTGACTGTTTTAGATATACAATGGTCAAGCATTTAGCATTTTATTCAATATTATTTTTTTATTTATAAAATTATATGCTGCCTAACCAGAGACTTGTTTGGTGAAGTTCACAAACAAATGTATGAAAATCATAAAAACGAGTACCATAAACTGATCAATAAGCCATCAAAAACAACATTAAGAGAGCCAGTTTGGTGTAGTGGTTAAGTGTGCGGACTCTAATCTAGGAGAACCGGGTTTGATTCCCCACTCCTCCACTCGCACCTGCTGATGTGACCTTGGGTCAGTCACAAGCTCTGGCACAGCTGTCCTTGAAAAAGAGCAGTTTGTGTCAGAGTTCTCTCAGCCCCACCCACCTCACAGGGTGTCTGTTGTGGGGAGGGGAAGGGAAAGGAGTTTGTAAACCACTCTGAGACTCCAAGTGAAGGGTAGGGTATAAATCCAATCTCCTCTTCTTCTTCTTCTTCTTCTTCTTCTTCTTCTTCTTCTTCTTCTTCTTCTATTAAGGCTGCAATCCTAGGGACATTTTCTTGGGAGTAAGCCCCATTAAATAACATGGGGCTTACTTCTGAATGGACCTCTTTAGGATTGCTTCCTAAGTAGCCTAAATGAATATCGATAAAAACTTTTAAGCTAGAAGCAGACCATAAAAAGAGCTTGTGAAGGAACACACTTGGAAGCCCTTCTGTGTTCCTTCTGGGTGGTTCCCTAGGACTTCAGAAGAACCCCAAGGCTGCCCCAACATCCTTCCTGAGCTAAAACAAAAAGGTGTGAGCCAGAGGCTAAAAAACTGTGCATTAGCTCACACTAACTCAGCTTAGAGGGAACACTGGCCCCATCCTTCCTGAGCTAAGACAAAAATGTGTGAGCCAGAGGCTAAAAAATTGTGAGCTAGCTCACACTAACTCAGCTTAGAGGGAACACTGGCCCCAAGTCTCCACTTGGAGATGCACCACACTCTCCAAGAGTGCCAATTTCAACCTGGGTAATCACCAGCTGCCACTATTAAGAGTATCTCCTGCCAGACAGAGTGAAACATCTAACACTCCATACCTGTGTTGCCATTTAGAGACCCTGCCTATTTGCTGCACCTCCTGGTGTCCTTCTTCAAGCAACCACAGGAGCTATCTATGGCAAGCTCACACTTTAGCATTATCATGCTGCAGAGATGACAGGCTTCTCTGCTGCCCTTATCCAGTGCCATACTACAGTTAGACAGACCAGATAAGTGTGGTGCGTTTCTAAAGATCAGACTGAGAGTTTAAAATATAAGAAAGTTTAATAAATGAATAAAAGAATACACATATTCTGTTCAAGCTTTCAGGCTTAGTGAGGGGACAAAGAAAAGGTGAAAACATGTGGACCTTTTCTCTAGGTACTTCCTAAGTCATGTTTGATTTAGGACAAATCCATATGGTCAGCTGTGTCGGTCTGAAGCAGTAGAACAAATTTAGAGTCCAGTGGCACCTTTAAGACCAACAAGGCACATGAAAGCTCATACCTTGAATAAACCTTTGTTGGTCTTAAAGGTGCCACTGGACTCTAAATTTGATTTAGGATAAGTGAGCTTCACTTGAAGTTGTAGTAAGTTACAGTTCATCATTAACTTAGTTCTCCAGGTTGGGGCTGCTCCTCATTGTCCCCTGCCTTCTGGAAAAGATGGAGTCCCTTGATGAAAGCTTGGTCCATCATGGTTGGTGCACATCCAAATAGCTGCCCAAAATGGAACTTGCCTGCCTGCCTGGTGCAAAAGTAGTGGACGTTATGCGTGTTTTAGATAGGCTGGTAGATAGTGCTGGGGAGGAGCCAGTGGTCGTGGTGCATGTCGGCACCAACGATGTGGGGAAATGCAGTCGTGAGGTCCTGGAGGAGAAATTTAGGCTGCTGGGCAGGAAACTTAGGTCCAGGACCTCCAAGGTAGCTTTCTCAGAAGTGCTACCTGTTCCACGCGTAGGGCTGGAGAGACAGGCACAGATCAGGCGTCTCAATACGTGGATGAGCCGATGGTGTAGGGGGGGAAGGTTTCAAGTTTGTTAGGCACTGGGATGCTTTTTGGAACAAGAGGGAGCTATACAGGCGAGACGGTCTCCACTTGTCCTGAGAAGGAACCAGGGGAGCTGTACAGGCGAGACGGTCTCCACTTGTCCCGAGAAGGAACCAGGCTGCTGGCGCTTAAAATCAAAAAGGTGGCAGAGCAGTTTTTAAACTGAATATTGGGGGAAAGCCGACAGGAGATGAAAAGTCTTTGGTTCGGGTTGGCTCATCTCAGAGAGATGAGGGGGTACCTGTTGCTTTCCTACAGGGAGGTGGATTGAAATTGTCCACTGAGACCATGGCTAGTGACATGGACTGCCTGACAAGGTCTCGAGATAGCAAGAGGAAGGTTGCAGGCTTAACTTGTATGGGAAATTACAGGGTAGCTCTGTATGTCAGAGAGGGTATAAAGTCTAGAAAGATTGAGAGGCTAAGTGAATTGGATTCGCTTCTGGAAGTTCTATGGGTTGAAATAGGGGGGCCAAAAGGAAACTTAACACTGGGAGTTTGTTATCGCCCACCAGATCAAAAGATAGAGGAGGATTATAAAATGATGAATGCCTTAAAGATAGCAACTAGACAAAAACACTGTGTAATAATAGGTGATTTTAACTACCCACACATTGATTGGGTCAATATGTGTTCTAGTCGGGAAAAAGAGATTGAGTTTCTAGACACTCTAAATGACTGTGCTATGGAGCAGATGGTCACGGAACCTACCAGGGGAGAGGCGATCCTTGATTTGGTCCTAAGTAACACTCAAGACCTGGTGAGAGATGTAAAAGTGATTGCACCGCTTGGAAACAGTGATCATAATGTTGTTGAGTTCATCATTTGTACAAATAGAGAATTGGCCAAAAAGACTCACACAACCATTTTTAACTTTAAAAGGGGTAATTTCTCTGATATGAGGGGACACGTGGGGAGGAAACTGAAAGGAAAAGTAGAAAGGGTCAAAACAATTGGGGAAGCTTGGGATCTATTTAAAACTACGATCCTAGAAGCTCAAAAAATATATATTCCGCAGGTTAGGAAAGGCACAAACAGGTATAGGAAAAAGCCTGCATGGTTAACAAACAGAGTAATGGAGGCTGTAAAAAGTAAAAAGAATTCCTTTAAGCAGTGGAAAGCTAGTCACAGTGAGGCTGATAAAACGGAACACAGGCTATGGCAAATAAAATGCAAGTCTGAGGTCAGGCAGGCAAAAAGGGAATATGAGGAGCATATAGCAAAAAACGTAAAAACCAACAATAAAACTTTCTTCAAATACATTAGAAACAGGAAACCAGCCAGGGAGGCAGTGGGGCCCTTGGACGACCAAGGGGTAAAAGGAGTATTGAAGGATGATAGGGAAATGGCTGAGAAGCTAAATGCATTTTTTGCCTCCGTCTTCACTGTGGAAGATGAGAAGTGCTTGCCCACTCCAGAACCACTGATTTCAGGAGGGGTGTTGGAAGACCTGAGTCAGATTGAGGTGATGAGAGAGGAGGTCCTAAAACTGATAGACAACTTAAAAACTGAAAAATCACCAGGCCCAGATGGCATACATCCGAGAGTTCTGAAAGAACTCAAATGTGAACTTGTAGATCTCCTGACAAAGATATGTAATCTTTCCTTAAAATCTGCCTCCATTCCTGAGGATTGGAAGGTAGCTAATGTCACTCCCATCTTTAAAAAGGGTTCCAGAGGAGATCCGGGAAATTACAGGCCAGTCAGTCTGACGTCGATACCGGGTAAATTGGTGGAAACCATTATTAAGGAAAGAATTAGTAGGCACATAGATGAACAAAACCTATTGAGGCAGACTCAGCACGGTTTCTGTAAGGGAAGATCTTGTCTCACTAACCTGTTAGTGTTCTTTGAGGGGGTGAACAAACATGTGGACAAGGGGGATCCAATAGATATTATTTACCTTGACTTCCAGAAAGCTTTTGATAAAGTTCCTCATCAAAGGCTCCTAAGTAAGCTCAAAAATCATGGGATAGAAGGACAAGTTCTTTTATGGATCAAAAACTGGCTAGTTCATAGAAAACAGAGAGTGAGTGTAGGTGGGCAATTTTCTCAGTGGAGGGTGGTAAGCAGTGGGGTACCGCAGGGATCAGTACTTGGTCCACTGCTTTTTAACTTGTTCATTAATGATTTGGAGATGGGAGTAAGCAGTGAAGTGGCT